TCTATTCTATTCTATTCTATTCCCTGTATTCTGTATATTCTATTTTCTATTCTACTATTCTATTCTCTATATTCTTCTATTCTATTCTATTTCTTTTCTCTTTCTCTTCTCTTCCCTTCCCTTCCATTCTAATTTGACCGGGACATTTTGTTTATTCTGCAGGATATTTGCGTCCGAGCTTACCTCGCTCTTCGGAAACACACCAATCTCCTCATCATCCTCTTTTCGATGATGCTGATGACAGGGATGCCGCAGCTCACCAGCAAGGAGGACATTGAATACATCCGCGATGCACTGACGGTCGGCAAACATGAAGAGGACGCTAAGAAGTATTTTCTAGATCAGATCGAAGTTTGTCGGGACAAAGGCTGGACTGTCCAGTTTAACTGGTTCCTCCATCTTGTGCTCGGAATCAAACAAGGTGTTGAAAAGCACTCTGCCTAAATAGGGCATTGCGGTACAGGGTGTCCTTAATGTACGGCCACCATGGAGCCCAAAATTTCAGTTGCTAAGCAAGACAGTTGCTAAGTGAGCTCTGCCCCATTTCACCACCTTTTGTTCTGACGCAGCTCCCCAAACACGACAAACTCTCTGAAGTTAACTCAAAGATTCCTTTATTAGGAGTCCTGGCAGCCCCGGCAAAAAGTTTCTCTCTCACCGCAAGGTAATAAGTCTGTCTGGCAGGCAGATGAATATTGTCTGCCACATCTATTCATCCCCGCCCCCTGCCTTTTAGCCCCAGAGCTAGGGTGGAGCTTCGTTAGCAGTGGTGGCTCTTCCATCCCAAGGACCGGCCCATAGATTTCCACTGCTCTCCTCTCCTCTGCCTTCTGCATGCCAGGCACTGGACCCAGCTGTTCCTCCTCTACCTCATCAGCCGCCTCCAGACCTGGCTCTTCTGTCCCAAGGACCGGACCATAGATTTCCACTGCTCTCCTCTCTTCTGCCTTCTGTGCATCCGTGCATCAGGCACTGGACTCAGCTATTCCTCCTCTTCCTCAGCAGCCACCTCCAGACCTGGGAGCTGTTGACTCTTCATCTGAGGGTTGATGGACGGTCCAGGCTTCGCCTCTCTCTCTCTCTCTGCCAGCTCCATTCTCTCTTCCCGCTTGGAGCTCCCAGGTTGCCCTGATGCTGACCCTGACTCCTCCTCCTCTGATTTGGCTGCTGGAGGGGCCAATAGGCCACAACACCTTTCTTGCTGCCATTGTTAAGGGGACCACTGCCGTTTTGCGACCTTTTGAGAAGCAAAGTCAACAGAGAGGCCAGATTCACTTAACAACCAGGCAGTCTTTGTCTCTGCTTGTCAGAAGGTTGCAAAAGGGGGATCACGTGACCCCGGGGACTATGCAACCATCATAAATATGAATCCATTGCCAAGCGCCCGAAATTAGATCACGACTGGGGGGGTGCTGCAACGGTCATAAGAGTGAAAACTGGTCATATGTCCCTTCTTTTTCACAGATGTCATAACTTCAAATGGTCACTAAATGAATGGCTTCCTTGCCACAGCTGTTAAGGGAATCACTGCAGCTGTTAAGTTAGTAACCCGGTTGTTAAGCGAATCTGGCTTCCCCATTGATTTTGCTTGTCAGAAGGTCACAAAAGGAGACCTCAGGACATTGCAAATATCATAAATCCGTGATGGAGAACCTATGGCACGTGTGTCACAGGTGGCACGCAGAGCTATTTGTGCCGGCATGCGACCTGCAGGCAAACTTACCTCACTGCGCATCCGTGCGCCTCACAGCTGATTTTCGGCCGGTTTGAGGCCTTTCTCGGCCTCCCAAAGGCTTGAGGAAGGCTTCTGCAGGCTTTGCAGGCCGAAAACTAGCCCTGTTTTGTCACTTCCGGTATCTCCGGAAAAACAGGAAGTGACGAAACGGGGCTAGTTTTCAGCCTACAAAGCTTGCTGAAGCCTGCGGAAGCCTTCCTCAAGCCTTTGGAAGGGCGAAAAAGGCCTCAAACCAGATGAAAATCAGCTGTGAGGCACAGTGCAGGTAAGGGGGTGGTGGGGGGTGGGGATTGCGTGCGCCTGCATAGGGGGCACGCGCATTGCCTTCTTGGTGCTGGCACGTTAGCGTGAGCATACAAGCGCACGCACAATTTTTGGCACAGGAGCCCAAAAAGGCTAGCCACCACTGTCATAAATGCTTGCCAAGTGTGCAAATTTTGATTACGTAACCACAGGGATGCTGTTGCAGTATCATAAGTGGGGAAAAACAGCCATAAGTCACTTTTTCTGGTGCCGTTATAACTTCGAACAGTCTCTGAACGAAGGTCGTAAGTTGAGGACTGCCTGTAAATAAATCCTTTGCAGGGAGGGATTTGTTGGTAGTTACTTGATACTCGGCTTCCAAGAACAGGCTCGCTCTCTGCAGGACACTCCTTTCCTTATTAGAACCTGGATTTTTGGAGCTGATGATCCTGCATCCTACTAAGCCAGCATTGCCTTTAGGGGGTTGGACTAGAAGACCTCAAAGGTCCCTTCCAACTCTGTTATTATGTACGCACTTGGTAACTTTAAGACTTATGAATTCCCAGCATGGTTGGCTGAGGAATTCTAGGAGTTGGAAGTCCACAAATCTTAAAAGTTGCCATATTTGATGTAGTAAATGCCATGGAAACTTTAAAATATTTTGTTACAGTGATATTTGGTCTCTAGAAGAAATACCGTCCAAGGGCTTTTTATTTTACCAGCTGTTTTAAAAAAAGCAAAGGTTATTTTTTTCCCCAGCAATATTTTTTTAAATAATTATTCAAATAAATACTAGTGCCATAATTCCTGGAGAAACAAGAGGCACACCTGATAGTTAGCCTTACTCACTGTATGTATTGAATTCTCAAGCTCTTCTTGCTATATCGAACACCTTTTACATTCTTTTAATATTCACCCTGCTCTGTCAGGCCATTTAAAAATAAAATGTTCAAAAAATAAACATACTCAAAGAGCCATTTGTTCTACAGACTGTTTCCATGCTCTATGTATTGTGAGCCAAATCCAGAAAACTTACATATCCATGGCAATATGGTGCTTTGGCTCTACAGTATATACCGTACATGCATGCATACATACATACATACATACATATATGTATTTTAAAAGGTATTTATTTTCTAAAATGGGACAATTCCTCTTTTTAACCTCCATTCATCCTGGTAATTCATAACAACTATTGCATCTTTGCATGGAGAATCTATTGTCCTAACTAAATTTATAATGTGTTCTCTTGATGGTTAGAACAGTTAGCACAATTAATCAGTGGAACTGCTTACTTCCAGGAGTTGTAAAATGCTCCATCACTGGAGGCTTTTAAGAAGAGATTGGACAACCATTTGTCTGAAATGGTCTAGAGTTTCTCTCCAAGTTGGACTAGAAGACCTCCAAGGTTCCCTTCCAACTCTGTTTATTGTATTATTCTGGTATGAATTTGACTGACTTGAATTATAACAATAATTATCATACTCTGTGTGAGCCCTTGCTTCTCCAACGCAAATATAACTGGAAGTATATTTATTTATATGTGTCGTGCAACTAGTCATCTGATTAATATGTCAATTAAAAGAAGCAGTAACATTATATGAAAAATTTGCAGGTGTAACCTTCTCTTCTTTGGACATAGATAAGAGTTTATAAGATTGCTGGCATTATAAAGACTTTTGAAACTTTCCCTGCTTCCTTAGGGAGTGTGTAACTACATAATTGTTTGATTCCATCCTCCCTGACCACAGTCCATGCTACAACTGATAGAAGCTAAGTCCAAAATTGTTGCATTGTGCTGGGATCTCATATAAGAAATTCTACATTTAGAAAAGCCAGCTTTCTGAACTTTTTACGTTTTCTAACAGTAATACCTTTAAAAAAAACTTCAGTCATTTGCATTGTACCTGTTCTGCAATTTTAAAACATGATGTGTGTGCCTTATATGCTCTGGATAAAAAAATATCCATATTAATATACTGTAATTGTTATTCCATAATTTTTCTGTTGCGTATTTTTTGGGGGGGTCGAGGGAAATTCAAGGATTGATGCTGACCTCGCAGCAAGTTAAGGAAAGTGATTGGTCGAGTTGGCTTCATTGGGGGCCTCCCACCAATGCTAATTGGCAGGAAAACATCCACCAATCACTTCTTAAATGTGGGATGGATTGATTTATTAGGAGAGGCCATGTCGGCGTTAGCTGGGTGCAGCCGACACTAAAATACATCATTCATTTCCCCCTTGACCCTGGCCTTCCCCCCACCTCCTGGATGTATATGCTCCAATGGGACACATCCATAGCCAAGTCATCAATTGTGCTCTCCAGTAATATTCTTGCGCGCCAACAGCTTCTGCTGCTTAGCAATTATCTGAAGCATTTGAGGAATGCACTACTTTCTCCCACTCCCTTTCTGCAGGCAACTAAAAAACCAAAGGAGTATTTTTTTTAGTTGACAACTAGTAGGATAGTGTTAGCTAGAGTTAGTACAGTGACCTAGAGGTGAAGCTCTCGCCTCACAATCAGGAGGCTGTGAGTTCAATCCTAGGGGAAGGCAGATATTTCTCTCTCTGGGTACACTGAGAAATATATCTGCTGAACAAAACTCTGCATTGGCGACAGGAAAGGCATCCGGCCAGTAAAACACTCTGCTAGCTCCAATCAGTTGCCCAGACTCCATCCCTCAAAGGATTATGGGGTAGTTAAAAGATGATGATAGCATTAATTAGAAACCAACTGCAACCAAAGATGTCTTTTTTTTTAATCTTAAGAGTGATTTCAAGATCATACTTTGGAGATGGAAGAAGATATTTGGGACTTTTTGGGTGAGTAAGTTTTAAAGGGAAAAGAAAAAAACACTATTCTGTAGTTCAAGCAGATCTCAAAATTTGCTCCTGTATTGAACTGAAACTATGACATTCAGAGAGTAGAGAAGAAATTATTCATGTTATTTCCCAGAGGAGCACTTTTGCTCTGTTTTCCTTTTTCAAAGGAGATAGAAGTGAATTCATGCTTCTAAGGGGTCTGTGTCATTCACAACCGGTTTGGAAAATGCAGCTTGGGTCTCACCTAACAGATTTTTCTCTGCAAAAGTCAGAAAAATTTGGTCTCCCCATTATCCCAAGGCAAAACAGTCCAGGCAAGAGGGAGAGACTCCTGGACTGGGTCGAGGTTGGGCTGCCAGCACCACCAGGCAAATCCTCTGGCAAATTTAATTCGCCAAAGAAGTTCATACAATTGTGGAAAGAAGTGGAGGAAGATGTATTGCATCCATTAATATTTATTCAATTATTACATCCCTATTTGAGATTGACAATGACCATCAGAAGAAAAAAAATGAAGCCAGTTCGTGTACAGGTACTTCTCGATTTAACAACAGTTCGTTTAGTGAACTTTCAAAGTTACGACGGCACTGAAAAAAAGTGACTTATGACCGTTTTTCAAAGTTACGACCTTTGCAGCATCCCCCTGGTCACGTCGAAGTCCAGACGCTTGGCAAGTGATTCATACTTACGTCGGCTGCAGTGTCCTGGAGCTGTGAGTTCATCTTTTGCGACCTCCTGAGAAGCAAAGTCAATGATTCACTTAACGACCGAGTTAATAACTGAACAATTGCGGTGATTTGCTTAAAACTGTGGCAAGAGAGCATAAAACGGGACAAAACTCACTTAACAACTGTTGTCAGGATTCCAGCAGTTACCCCAATTCAATCATGAGTCTCGAGCCAAACTTCCAAAACTTTAAAAGGATTTATTAGGAGTTAACATGCCGGCACTGCCTGGGTGTAGCCGACTCTGAGACACATCATTCATTGTCACCCTTGACCCTGGTTTTCCCCCACCCCTCTGGGTGTATTGTAATTCATATTCTCCAATGGGACACATCCATAGCCAAGAGTCATCAATCATGCTCTCCAGCTAGAATTTTGTGGTGGCAGAAACTTCAGTCACCTAGTTACTATCTTTGAAAAACTATTTATGGAATGCACTTTTGATTTCCAAACTGCCGCACTGCACCTTCAAACCTCTCCCCCCCCCCCCCCACTTTCTGTTGGCAACTCTAAAAAGACCATAGAAACATTTTATGAGTTGACAACTGTTTGGTTTAGCAACAAAAATATGGGGTTCAGTTCTCGTAAGTCTCTTATCTTTCACCCATCTAATGGCGGAACAAATGGTAGCAGTTCTGTTGGAACATGCAATTTTTTTATAAATTAAAATATCAAAGTCAAAGCAAAGGCAAAGGCCCTCCCCATGCACTAAATGGAAATAATGGACACGTTGCACAAAAACAGATTAAATTCATTATCATCATCATCCTGTTGGGATGTAAGCAGGAAGGATTATCCTAAAAAATCATTTGGAAGATTATTTTAACTTAATGCAGAAAAACTACATTAGCACCTCAGCATGTCTGCCATGCCCCTGTTGGAGTCTGAATCAGAGGAGGAAGATGAACAGCTGACAGTGAATGGGAGTGTGGCTCCATGGCTCTGTTGGCTGTAGAGGAAACTGGGGAAGGGCAAAGTCTGGCTGGGCAGAGCAGGAGAGAGGTATAGCAAGGGAGAGGGAATTCAGAGGAAGACCCAGGCCCACCCCCTCTTCATCCTAGGGCATGCAGGGAGGAATGGAGGAGAGAGCAATGTGGGTTGCATGGCTTATGGTGGGGAGGAAAGGGCCCTGATTCCCTTCATTAGCCACACCTGGGAAGAGAGTTTAAAAGAGATGCAAGCTGAGTCCTTTGCTGGGAACAAATGTGAGTTTATTTTGTGTTGACTTTGATTATGTGTTCCTGGCATCCTCCCAACAGTGTTGAATTACCGCCGTTCCTTCATGTCTGGAATTACTTATCTTGCTCTGCTGGACTAAATTACCTCCTCTTGCCTTGATTAGACTTACAGTTACAGTTTGTGTTGACCATGTTTTGGACTTGATTCTCTGCAGCCACAGGCTGTTCCTGTGAGAGTTTTTCCCCAGCCCAGAAGGTAACCAGGACTTTGGGGGCAAAGTTGGAGCTAATAAAAGGATTCCTACTGATTATCTGACTGTATTGCCTTTTCCATCTGCCAAGCAGCCGCAGAGCACTCTGCCCATGCTCAAGGGCAACACTTTCCTCCCAGGTCCCCTCTGCCTTTTCCATCTGCCAAGCAGCAGCAAAGCACTCTGCCCATGCTCAGAGGCAACGCTTCCCTACCCGACTCTCCGCTGCCTTTTTTTGCGCCCCCCCCTCTCTCTCTCTCTCTGCAAACGCATCGGCTGCAGCGCGGGGCGTCTGGCGCGTGCGCGGTGGCAGGCGGGCAGGCAGGCGGCGCGCGGCGCTCGGTTGGTTGCCATGGTTTCCCCGGGTCGCGCGCGCGCCATGTTTCTTTCTTTTTTTTTCCTCCTCCCTCCCTCCCTCCCTCTCTCTCTCTCTCTCTCTCCTCCCCCCCCCCCCCGGCGCGGGGGGGGGGGGGGGCAGGAGGGAGGGGGCGGGGCTGCGTCTTGCTGCCGTCACGGCCGGGCTCGGCTCTTTCTTTCGCGGCAGGCTGCAAAGCGGCGCCGGGCAAGCCCCCGCAGGGAAGCCGCCTTCGCCGCCCGCCTTGCAAGCCGCCGTCTTCGCGGGAGGAGGGGGGGCGGGTTGCATCGCCCGCCGCGGGGCCCGGTGGGGGGGTGGAGGGCGCCCCGCCCCCGCTCGCCCCGGCATGAGCATCTCCATCCCGGAGGGGCTGCGGGAGCTGCTGCAGAGCTTCACCCTGGAGGTGCTGCGGAGCCAGCCGGCCGACCTGCTCGACTTCGCCCTCCGCTACTTCCAGCGCCTGAAGGCGGAGGCCGGAGGAGGAGGCGGGGGGCTCCCTCGGGGAGGGCCCGGGGCCCGTTGCAACGCCGGAGCCCCCGAGCGCGGGAGCAGCCGCCTGCAGCTCGACGGTGACCCCGCCGAGGGCCGCGGGGTCAACTTCTCGCCCGAGCCGCTGCCGAGCCCCTCTGAGAGCAGCGGCGAGGAAGACCAGGAGGAGGAAGAGGAGGAGGAGGAGGAGGAATTCACCGGTAAGCCGGGCCAGGAGGGAGGGTCTTCGGCTTGGGGGGGGGGGAGGCTCCGGGG